GCTCCTGTCCCTGGCCCATGACATCCCCCTCGCAGGGCACCAGGGAATCCGGCGCACCCGGCAGAGGTTGCTACAGAACTTTTACTGGCCCGGGGTCTTTACCACGGTCCGGCAGTATTGCCTATCCTCTGACCCCTGTCAGAGGGTGGGGAAGGCCCGGGACAAGGGGAAAGCGGCTTTGAGACCTTTGCCCATCATAGAGGAGCCTTTCCAGAAGGTGGCCATGGACATCGTGGGGCCTCTCAGCAAGACGACCCGGTCAGGGAAGAAATACATTCTGGTGGTGGTAGATTTCACCACCCGCTACCCCGAGGCAGTGCCCTTAGCTTCCTTTGAAGCCGACACCATGGCCGATGCGCTCCTGACCATTTTCAGCCGAGTGGGGTTCCCCAAGGAAGTCTTGACAGACCAAGGCTCCAACTTCATGTTGGCCCTGCTCCGGTGCTTGTGGGAGAAATGTGGGGTCCGGCACGACTGGGCCTCAGCTTATCACCCCCAGTCCAATGGGCTGGTGGAGAGATGTAACGGGACGCTAAAGATGATGCTGAAAACCTTTATGAACCAGCACCCGCAGGATTGGGACAAGTACTTACCTCACCTGCTGTTCGCGTACAGGGAGGTGCCCCAGGAGTCTACCGGATTTTCGCCTGTCGAACTGTTATATGGCAGGAGGGTGAGGGGCCCCCTGGACCTGATGAGAGACGAATGGGAGGGGAAGGCCACTCCCGATGGGAGAGTCAGTGGTGGAGTATGTCCTGATCTTCCGAGAGAGACTGGCTGAACTCATGGGCCTGGCCAGGGAGAATCTGGCCAGAGCCCAGAGGAAGCAGAAGGTCTGGTATGACCGCACGGCAAGGGCCCGTGCCTACGCCACCGGGGATCCGGTGATGGTTCTCATCCCAGTGAGAAAGAACAAACTACAGGCCGCCTGGGAGGGCCCTTTCAAGGTCGTCAAGCAGCTCAATGAGGTAAACTATGTGGTGGAGCTGTCGAACCGGGCGCACCACCGCCGGGTGTACCATGTGAATATGATGAAGCCATATTATGCCAGGGGGAATGTGGTTTTGGCCGTGTGTGGACAGTGGGAGGAGCAGGGAGATGACCCTTTAGTAGATCTATTCCCTGGGACCAGAGCTGGTTCCCCCCTGGAAACAATTCCCCTCTCGGATCAGCTAACCCCTGCCCAGCAAGCTGAGGTCAGGGAGGTGCTGCATCCGTACCGACAGCTGTTTTCCAACCAGCCTGGACGCACTAATCTGACTGTCCACCGGGTGCAGACCGGGTCGCACCCGCCGATAAGATGCTCCCCCTTCCGAGTCACAGGGAAAACTGCTCAGGACCTGGAAAGAGAGGTCCGGGACATGCTGGCTTTGGGGGTGATCCAGCCATCCGCCAGCCCTTGAGCCTCGCCGGTGGTGCTGGTCCCCAAAAAGGACGGGTCGGTCCGGTTCTGTGTGGACTATCGGAAGCTCAATGCCATCACTGTATCTGATGCCTACCCCATGTCCAGGCCAGACAAACTCCTAGACAAGCTGGGAGGAGCTCGGTACCTTACCACCATGGACCTTACAAAGGGCTACTGGCAAGTGCCGCTGGATGCAGAAACGGCTGAAATCGGCCGTTATCACCCTTCTGGGGCTCTATGAGTTTCTGACCCTGCCTTTCGGCCTCAAGGGAGCGCCGGCCACCTTCCAGCGCCTAGTGGACCAGCTACTGAGGGGGATGGAGAGTTTTGCTGTGGCGTATATTGATGACATCTGTGTCTTTAGCCAGACCTGGGAGGACCACGTGTCCCAGGTTAGACAAGTGCTGGACCGACTCCAGGGGGCTGGGCTGACTGTAAAAGCGGAGAAGTGCAAGGTGGGGATGGCTCAAGTATCTTACCTGGGCGAGCGGGTGGGGAGCGGCCGCCTAAAGCCAGAGCCAGCCAAGGTGGAGGTGATCAGAGACTGGCCCGCTCCCCACACCAAAAAGCAGGTCCAAGCCTTTATTGGGATGGCAGGATACTACTGAAGATTTGTGCCCCACTTTAGCGCCATAGCCACCCCCATCACGGAGCTATGCAAGAAGGGGAAGCCAGACAAGGTGGTCTGGACCGAGCAGTGCCAGGTGGCTTTCCGGGCGCTGAAGGAGGCTCTGGTCAGTGGCCCAGTTCTGGCAAACCCAGACTTTGACAAGCCCTTTGTGGTGTTCACCGACGCCTCAGACATGGGACTGGGGGCAGTGTTAATGCAGGAGGATGAAAAGGGGGAGAGACACCCCATCGTGTACCTAAGCAAGAAGTTCCTACCCCGGGAGCAACACTACGCGGCCGTCGAGAAGGAGTGCCTGGCCATGGTGTGGGCCCTCAAGAAACTAGGGCCCTATCTCTTCGGGCGACACTTCACCGTCTACACCGACCACTCTCCCCTGACCTGGCTGCACCAGATGAAAGGAGCCAACGCCAAGCTCCTGAGATGGAGCCTGCTCCTGCAGGATTACGACATGGACGTGGTCCACGTGAAGGGAAGTGCCAACCTGATAGCGGACCCCAGGTCACCGGTCACAGTGACCCCGCTCAGTTCAGTCTCGAAGGGGGGAGAGATGTGACGATGTGACGCAGCAGGGAGGGGGGAGTGTTGACCTGGGAATGTGCCCTGGGGATGGGAGACCTGAGAGCCTGTCACCTGAGCCGGGAGGGGTAGGGGGAGGTAACACCTCTGCCCAGGAATGTGAATGGAGACTGCAGCAGGGAACCTGCTGGGGGGTTTAGTTTTCAGTTTGGAGCTGCGTGGAGGAACACAGGGAACCCCAGGGCTGGGGTCTAAGCTCCCTGCTCCCCCAGAAGGACTTGACTAAGGGGTCCTGGGTGTACCCACAAGCTCTGTTTTGGGCTGTGTTCATAGAATCATAGAATCACAGAATATCAGGGTTGGAAGGGACCCCAGAAGGTCATCTAGTCCAACCCCCTGCTCAAAGCAGGACCAATTCCCAGTTAAATCATCCCAGCCAGGGCTTTGTCAAGCCTGACCTTAAAAACCTCTAAGGAAGGAGATTCTACCACCTCCCTAGGTAACGCATTCCAGTGTTTCACCACCCTCTTAGTGAAAAAGTTTTTCCTAATATCCAATCTAAACCTCCCCCACTGCAGCTTGAGACCATTACTCCTCGTTCTGTCATCTGCTACCATTGAGAACAGTCTAGAGCCATCCTCTTTGGAACCCCCTTTCAGGTAGTTGAAAGCAGCTATCAAATCCCCCCTCATTCTTCTCTTCTGCAGGCTAAACAATCCCAGCTCCCTCAGCCTCTCCTCATAACTCATGTGTTCCAGACCCCTAATCATTTTTGTTGCCCTTCGCTGGACTCTCTCCAATTTATCCACATCCTTCTTGAAGTGTGGGGCCCAAAACTGGACACAGTACTCCAGATGAGGCCTCACCAATGTCGAATAGAGGGGAACGATCACGTCCCTCGATCTGCTCGCTATGCCCCTACTTATACATCCCAAAATGCCATTGGCCTTCTTGGCAACAAGGGCACACTGCTGACTCCTATCCAGCTTCTCGTCCACTGTCACCCCTAGGTCCTTTTCCGCAGAACTGCTGCCTAGCCATTCGGTCCCTAGTCTGTAGCTGTGCATTGGGTTCTTCCGTCCTAAGTGCAGGACCCTGCACTTATCCTTATTGAACCTCATCAGATTTCTTTTGGCCCAATCCTCCAATTTGTCTAGGTCCTTCTGTATCCTATCCCTCCCCTCCAGCGTATCTACCACTCCTCCCAGTTTAGTATCATCCGCAAATTTGTTGAGAGTGCAATCCACACCATCCTCCAGATCATTTATGAAGATATTGAACAAAACCAGCCCCAGGACCGACCCTTGGGGCACTCCACTTAATACTGACTGCCAACTGGACATGGAGCCATTGATCACTCCCCATTGAGCCCGACAATCTAGCCAGCTTTCTACCCACCTTATAGTGCATTCATCCAGCCCATACTTCCTTAACTTGCTGACAAGAATACTGTGGGAGACCGTGTCAAAAGCTTTGCTAAAGTCAAGAAACAATACATCCACTGCTTTCCCTTCATCCACAGAACCAGTAATCTCATCATAGAAGGCGATTAGATTAGTCAGGCATGACCTTCCCTTGGTGAATCCATGCTGGCTGTTCCTGATCACTTTCCTCTCATGCAAGTGCTTCAGGATTGATTCTTTGAGGACCTGCTCCATGATTTTTCCAGGGACTGAGGTGAGGCTGACTGGCCTGTAGTTCCCAGGATCCTCCTTCTTCCCTTTTTTAAAGATGGGCACTACATTAGCCTTTTTCCAGTGTTCCTGTTGTCCAATAAACCTTCCGTTTTACTGGCTGGCTGAGAGTCTCAGTGAATCCCAGGAAGAGAGGTGCAGGGCCCGGACTCCCCCACACTCCGTGACAGGTGTCCCCCAGAAGCACAGCACAAGTTTGAACTACAGACAGTGTAGAGCTAATACTTATATCTGTAAATGCAAAAAAGATACACGCGTATAGACAGCATCATCCTAACCAGCAAAGCATAACCGCGTCTGAGACACCTCATTTGACCCCCTTTATACAAGATTTGGTGCCACTGCAGGACCTTGGTTGCAACAATGATCTATACGGTCCCAGTTCATATTAATAACGTCACACAGGGCTGGAGAAATCCTTTCCTTCCAGGAAAGACCAGAGCTCTGCGTGTAGGTCCCTGGGTCCATGTCTCCGTCTGTCTGTCAGTGCCGGAGCCAGGCGGCGTCAGCGTGGGGTCAGGGCCCTGCCGGCTGGTGGTGGGCGACTCGTTGGCTCGGCACCTCCAGCCGGTGCTGGGTGCTGGCGTGACGCCCGAGGCCTGGCCCTGGCTATGAGTGTGGGGCCTGGAGCCGCACCGGCGCCCGCCACGCGGCAGGTTGTGGGGCCGGGCACGGGGGGCGGGCGAGTGGCAGGCTCTGTCGCGGGTACGGCTCCTGTCCCCTCCCCGCGCTGACGCCAGGCTGTGTTTGGCAGGTTCGAGCCCTGCGCTAACGTGACAGCGGAGGTGTATTTACGGACCTACCTCTCCCCCTGCATCGAGGACTGCGGCCCCTACGGCCAGTGCAAGCTCCTGAGCACCAACAACTATCTGTACGCGGCCTGCGAGTGCAAAGCAGGTGAGGGGGCGGGTGAGGGAGGAGGGGGTGGGTGAGGGGGCAGGGCAGGTGAGGAGGTGGGGGGCGGGTGAGGGCAGGTGAGGGTGTCACGGAGTCCCTGGGCAATGCTCTGGAACTGCTCCCCATGAAGCCAGTCAGGACTCTGGGGCAGTCGCCTTTCTGTGAGCAGCCTGTCTTCAGGACACGCAGCTCACACAGCTTCCACCTTCCTGGGTCTGACCTCGGAGCATTCAGCATCCTCTGCCCCTCCGTGCGCTTCCCACAGCGAGTCCGCTCAGGCGGGGTCCTGGGGAAGCCAGAGGGTCCTGCACCCCAACTTCGCAGTCAGACGTGACTCTCAGCCAGCCAGTAAAACAGAGGTTTATTAGATGACAGGAACATGGTCTAAAACAGAGCTTGCAGGTGCAGAGAACAGGACCCCTCAGCTGGGTCCATTTTGGGGGGCAGTGAGCCAGACAACCACGTCTGCCCTTCACTCCATGTCCCAGCCAGCCCCAAACTGAAAACCCCCTCCAGCCCCTCCTCCTCTGGGCTTTGTTCCTTTCCCGGGCCAGGAGGTCACCTGATTCCTTTGTTCTCCAACCCTTCAGCTCTCACCTTGCAGGGGGGGAAGGGCCCAGGCCATCAGTTGCCAGGAAACAGGGTGTTGGCCATTCTCTGTGTCCAGACTCCTGCACACACATGCCCTCTAGGGCTCTGCAATGATCATACACCCTTACTCCACCCCCTAGATACTTAAGAACTGCCTAGGGGAAACTGAGGCACCCCCACACTATTCAGAGGAAACATTAAGAACAGTCCCACTTCGTCACAGAGGGGGTGGGGCAGGTGAGGGAAGTGGGGGCGGGTGAGGGGGCGGGACAGGTGAGGGAGGAGGGGTGGTGAGTGAGGGGGCGGGACAGGTGAGGGAGGAGGGGGCAGGTGAGGGCAGGTGAGGGGGTGGGGCAGGTGAGGGAGGAGGGGGGGCAGGTGAGGGGGCAGCCTCCCGGGGGAGCTCCACAGAGTCTGGAATCGGCCCCCGGCAGCACGTTGCCCCCTCACATTATGGCTGGCAAAGCCCGCTCCGGGCCATCTCCTGGAAGCCAGGACGGGGCCCCTCCTTGCCCCCCTAGACTGAGCCGTGTGGCTGGAGCGTCCGTCACACCCGGCCCCGCTACCCCCATGTGGTCCCAGGACCCCCCAGCCTGGCAGCCCCTTTCTCTAAGCCCCAGGGCTGCCACGTTCGGCCTGGTCCCCAGCCCCGCTGCACGCCCCCCCGTCCCCCCCGCCGGCCCCGGGCTCCCTGGGCACTGGCAGCCCTGCCCGGCTGACGGGCCCTCGCCGCAGGCTGGAACGGCTGGGGCTGCACGGACAGCGCCGAGGCCTTCTCCTACGGCTTCCAGCTCCTGGCCACGCTGCTTCTGTGCCTCAGCAACCTGATGTTCCTGCCGCCCGTGGCCATCGCCCTGCGGAGCCGCTACCTGCTCGAGGCCTCGGTCTACGTCTTCACCATGTTCTTCTCCACCGTGAGTCGGGGCAGCACCGCCGCGGCTCCCCTGCGCGGGGAGAGCCGGGCGTGGGCGCGGGGACCGGCTGCAGGCAGAGCCGGGCGTGGGCGCGGGGACCGGCTGCAGGCAGAGCCGGGCGTGGGCGTGGGGACCGGATGCAGGCAGAGCCGGATGTGGGCGCGGGGACCTGCTGCAGGCAGAGCCGGGCATGGGCGTGGAGACGGGCTGCAGGCAGAGCCGGATGTGGGCGCGGGGACCTGCTGCAGGCAGAGCCGGGCATGGGCATGGAGACGGGCTGCAGGCAGAGCCGGACGTGGGCGCAGGGACCGGCTGCAGGCAGAGCCGGGCGTGGGCGTGGGGACCGGATGCAGGCAGAGCCGGGCGTGGGCGTGGGCACGGGCTGCAGGCAGAGCCGGGCGTGGGGACCGGCTGCAGGCAGAGCCGGGCGTGGGCGCGGGGACCGGCTGCAGGCAGAGCCGGGCGTGGGCGCGGAGACGGGCTGCAGGCAGAGCCGGGCGTGGGCGCGGGGATGGGCTGCAGGCAGAGCCGGGCGTGGGCGCAGAGACGGGCTGCAGGCAGAGCCGGGTGTGGGCGCGGGGACGGGCTGCAGGCAGAGCCGGGCGTGGGGACGGGCTGCAGGCAGAGCCGGGCATGGGCGTGGAGACGGGCTGCAGGCAGAGCCGGATGTGGGCGCGGGGACCTGCTGCAGGCAGAGCCGGGCATGGGCATGGAGACGGGCTGCAGGCAGAGCCGGATGTGGGCGCAGGGACCGGCTGCAGGCAGAGCCGGGCATGGGCGTGGGGACCGGATGCAGGCAGAGCCGGGCGTGGGCGTGGGCACGGGCTGCAGGCAGAGCCGGGCGTGGGGACCGGCTGCAGGCAGAGCCGGGCGTGGGCGCGGGGACCGGCTGCAGGCAGAGCCGGGCGTGGGCGCGGAGACGGGCTGCAGGCAGAGCCGGGCGTGGGCGCGGGGATGGGCTGCAGGCAGAGCCGGGCGTGGGCGCAGAGACGGGCTGCAGGCAGAGCCGGGTGTGGGCGCGGGGACGGGCTGCAGGCAGAGCCGGGCGTGGGGACGGGCTGCAGGCAGAGCCGGGCATGGGCGTGGAGACGGGCTGCAGGCAGAGCCGGATGTGGGCGCGGGGACCTGCTGCAGGCAGAGCCGGGCATGGGCATGGAGACGGGCTGCAGGCAGAGCCGGACGTGGGCGCAGGGACCGGCTGCAGGCAGAGCCGGGCGTGGGCGCAGGGACCGGCTGCAGGCAGAGCCGGGCGTGGGGACGGGCTGCAGGCAGAGCCGGGCGTGGGCGCAGGGACCGGCTGCAGGCAGAGCCGGGCGCGGGGACGGGCTGCAGGCAGAGCCGGGCGTGGGCGCGGGGACGGGCTGCAGGCAGAGCCGGATGTGGGCGCGGGGACCTGCTGCAGGCAGAGCCGGGCAGGGGCGCCGGGGGTGAAGGTGGTGCACTCGGGGGCTGAGCAGGGGGTCTGGCCCGGGGAGGCAATGGGGGCTGCCCGCCGGGGGGGCTGAGCCGCGATCTCTCTCCAGTTCTATCACGCCTGCGACCAGCCGGGCATCGCCGTGTTCTGCATCATGGAGTACGACGTGCTGCAGTTCTGCGACTTCCTGGGCTCCCTTATGTCCGTCTGGGTCACCGTCATCGCCATGGCGCGGCTCCAGCCCCTCGCCAAGCAGGTGAACAGGGCGCGGCTCTGCCTCCAGGGCACGCTGCCCCCCCCGGACCGCTGCCCCCCCCCGGACCTCTGCCCTCCTCCAGGGCATGCTGCCCCCCCCGACCCCTGCCCTCCTCCAGGGCACGCTGCCCCTCCCGGACCTCTGCCCTCCTCCAGGGCACGCTGCCCCCCCCGGACCCCTGCCCTCCTCCAGGGCACGCTGCCCCCCCCGGACCCCTGCCCCCCCCGGACCCCTGCCCTCCTCCAGGGCACCCTCATGACACCCGCGGCTGGCTGGTTGTTCGCTCCTGGGGAGCCCTGGGGAGACGCAGGAGGGACTGGCCCCTGGAGGCCAGCGTCAGACGGGGCTTAGCTCAGCTCGGGGGGGGGGGTGAACCCCAGACACAGGGCCAGGTGGTGGGAACCGGGCCCCCCCATCCCTGCTCTCCGTAGCCCCCCATTTTCCCCTCATCCCTCTGTCCCCAGCCGCAGCCCTAGGACCCCGGTGCTGGCACCCTGGCCGGTGCGCGGCAGCCTCGGGCTCTGCCCTGCGGGCACTGGCGGGCCAGGCTGCCCGGACTCTGCCATTCCAGCCCAGCCAGCCGGGGCTGCGTGACCCAGACCGCTCGCCCTCAGTCCCACCCTGCCCCACCCCAGAGCCTGCGTTGGGGTGGGGAGGATCATATGGCGCTGGCCCCCTCGCTAACCCTGCCTGCTCTCCGCGCCAGGTGCTGTACCTGCTGGGCGCCATGCTGCTCTCCATGGCCCTGCAGCTGGACCGCCACGGGCTCTGGAACCTCCTCGGGCCCAGTCTCTTCGCCGTGGGGATCATGGCTATCGCCTGGGTGAGGCCCCTGAGCTGGAGCGGGGGGGGCACGTGGGAGCTACAGGGGCTGCTGTCCCCCAGCCCCTGTGTCCCCTGCCCCCCTCAGCTCCATCCTGTGCCCCCCCCCGGGTCCCTGCCCTGCCGCATCCCCCCCACTCCTCCCCCCATCCATCCTGTGCCCCCCCACCCCCCGGGTCCCTGCCCTGCCGCATCCCCCCACTCCTCCCCCCCATCCATCCTGTGCCCCCCCCGGGTCCCTGCCCTGCCGCATCCCCCCACTCCTCCCCCATCCATCCTGTGCCCCCCGGGTCCCTGCCTTGCCGCATCCCCCCACTCCTCCCCCCATCCATCCTGTGCCCCCCACCCCCGGGGTCCCTGCCCTGCCGCATCCCCCCCACTCCTCCCCCATCCATCCTGTGCCTCCCCCGCGGGGTCTGTGCCCCTGCCGCATCCCCCCCCACTCCTCCCCCCATCCATCCTGTGCCCCCCCCCACCCCCGGGGTCCCTGCCCTGCCGCATCCCCCCACTCCTCCCCCATCCATCCTGTGCCTCCCCCCCGGGGTCCGTGCCCTGCCGCATCCCCCCCACTCCTCCCCCCATCCATCCTGTGCCCCCCCCACCCCCCAGGGTCCGTGCCCTGCCGCATCCCCCCACTCCTCCCCCCATCCATCCTGTGCCCCCCCACCCCCGGGTCCCTGCCTTGCCGCATCCCCCCACTCCTCCCCCATCCATCCTGTGCCCCCCCGGGTCCCTGCCCCTGTGTGTCTCACCCTGTCTCTTGCCCCCCCAGACGGCGCGCAGCATCCGCCGGCGTCACTGCTACCCCCCCACGTGGCAGCGCTGGGCCTTCTACCTGGGCCCGGGCGCGCTGATCGCGGCGGGCGCCGTGCTGCTCTACGCCTGCGTGGAGACGGAGGAGAACTACTTCTACATCCACAGCATCTGGCACATGCTGATCGCCGGCAGCGTGGGCTTCCTGCTGCCCCCGCGCCCCAAGGCCGCCGGGCACCTGGGCCCCCTGCCCCGCCGCAAGGGCTGCGGCTACCGGCTCTGCGTCAACGAGCTGGAGGAGCTGGGGCTGGTGGGCCCCGCCACGGCCTCCGTCAGCAGCGTCTGTGCCAGCTGACAGCGCCAGGCCCCCTGGCCTTTGCGGGCACCACGCTGGGGGCGTGGGACAGAGCAGCCCCAGGGCGATGGACCCACAGCGAGGGGGCGTCCCCCCCCACTGCCATAGTCACCAGCCTCCGGGGAGGGCCTGAGCCCTGTGGCACCCCCGGGTGGTCTCTGCCTGCTGCTGCCCCAAGGACTGGCTCAGCCCTCCGCTCACGGTGACGGGGCTGCGAATCCCCTGCTTGGGGCAGATATGGGGCTGCCGCGGGGCAACACAGGGCCGCAACGCCACGCCCAGCCCAGCCCGGCTCCCTCCCGTGCCACGGCCCCTGCCTCCCCGGCCGGGCGGCTCTGCTGTGTAACTGCAATTACATCCCCCTGGAACTTGGGCCCATGGTGTCGGTGCCGCTCCATTCCGCCGGGCAGGGCAGCCAAGGACGCTGGGAGGTGCCCGCGGCTCGGGGGGGGGGGGTGCTGCCGGGGCCTGAGGGGCGGGAGGGGCTGGGAAACTGGATCCACAGGCAGGCAGCGCGGCCCCAGCCTGGGCCGGGGCCGGAGCTGTGCGGCTCCTGCGTGGAGCGTTGGCTCCCAGCTGCATGAGGGCCCCCTGGACGCGGGCAGGGCTGGGAGCCCGAGGGCAGGGGCTGGAACGAGACCGGCAGATACAGCGATCGAGCAGCCCGATGATCCTGCCAGGCTGGGCTCTGGGTGGCACCAGCCACGGGCAACCCCATCACCCTGATCCGGCAGCACGCCAGGGCCCCGGGGACCTTGGGCTTCCAAAGGCCTTGGGCAGGCCCCAGTGGGGCCCAGTCGTGTCCGTGTCAGGCACAGGTGGCCCCAGGCAGGTGCTCCCAAAGTTCAACGCAGTAAGGGGGGTTTTGTAGCCCTGCGAGGGGGCCGTGCCAGAGGGAAACTGAGGCACAGGGAGGTTCATAGAATCATGGACTATCAGGGTTGGAAGGGACCTCAGGAGGTCATCTAGTGCAACCCCCTGCTCAAAGCAGGACCAATCCCCAACTAAATCATCCCAGCCAGGGCTTTGTCAAGCCTGACCTTAAAAACCTCTAAGGAAGGAGATTCTACCACCTCCCTAGGTAACGCATTCCAGTGTTTCACCACCCTCCTAGTGAAAAAGTTTTTCCTAATATCCAACCTAAACCTCCCCCACTGCAACTTGAGACCATTACTCCTCGTTCTGTCCTCTTCTACCACTGAGAATAGTCTAGAACCCTCCTCTCTGGAACCCCCTCTCAGGTAGTTGAAAGCAGCTATCAAATCCCCCCTCATTCTTCTCTTCCGCAGACTAAACAATCCCAGTTCCCTCAGCCTCTCCTCATAAGTCATGTGTTCCAGTCCCCTAATCATTTTTGTTGCCCTCCGCTAGACTCTATCCAGTTTTTCCACATCCTTCTTGTAGTGTGGGGCCCAAAACTGGACACAGTACTCCAGATGAGGCCTCACCAGTGTCGAATAGAGGGGGACGATCACGTCCCTCGATCTTCTGGCAGTGCCCCTACTTATACATCCCAAAATGCCATTGGCCTTCTTGGCAACAAGGGCACACTGCTGACTCATATCCAGCTTCTCGTCCACTGTCACCCCTAGGTCCTTTTCCGCAGAACTGCTGCCTAGCCATTCGGTCCCTAGTCTGTAGCGGTGCATGGGATTCTTCCGTCCTAAGTGCAGGACTCTGCACTTGTCCTTGTTGAACCTCATCAGATTTCTTTTGGCCCAATCCTCTAATTTGTCTAGGTCCCTCTGTATCCTATCCCTACCTGCCACCGTATCTACCACTCCTCCCAGTTTAGTGTCATCTGCAAACTTGCTGAGAGTGCAATCCACACCATCCTCCAGATCATTAATGAAGATATTGAACAAAACCAGCCCGAGGACCGACCCTTGGGGCACTCCACTTGATACCGGCTGCCAACTAGACATGGAGCCATTGATCACTACCCGTTGAGCCCGACAATCTAGCCAACTTTCTACCCACCTTATAGTCCATTCATCCAGCCCATACTTCTTTAACTTGCTGGCAAGAATACTGTGGGAGACCGTGTCAAAAGCTTTGCTAAAGTCAAGGAACAACACGTCCACCATCTTCCCCTCATCCACAGAGCCAGTTATCTCCTCATAGAAGGTGATTAGATTAGTCAGGCATGACTTGCCCTTGGTGAATCCATGCTGACTGTTCCTGATCACTTTCCTCTCCTCTAAGTGCTTCAGAATTGATTCCTTGAGGACCTGCTCCATGATTTTTCTGGGGACTGAGGTGAGGCTGACTGGCCTGTAGTTCCCAGGATCCTCCTTCTTCCCTTTTTTAAAGATGGGCACTGCATTTGCCTTTTTCCAGTCGTCCGGGTCTTCCCCGGATCGCCATGAGTTTTCAAAGATAATGGCCAATGGCTCTGCAATCACAAGGTTGATGCCTTGCCCAAGGTCACAAACTCAGGGTGGACGCTGTGAAGGCCGTAGGTGTGAGCCTGAGTGGCCCGACACCTGGACCATCACAGGCCCAGGCTGTGATGCACACAGAGCTGTGCTGGGCATCTGGGCCCCCGTACGACGGGGCAGAGACGGGTGCCTACGAACGTGCTCCACGAAGCCAGTCCAAGGGAGATGCCGCCCAGACGGGGGCTCAGCCCCACTACCCCGAGCCAGCCCAAAAAACTGGAGCCACTCTCGCTTGCTGACCCAATGACCCCCACAGAGGCGGGGGGGTTGAACCTGGGGCTCCCCGCCCCACGCTCTACCCCTGGGCTAGCACCACCCCAGTGCCTCCCACTCTGGCTAGAGCGACACTTGCTCTGGGGCAGGCAGCTACTGGGCCCTGCACACGCGTCAGGGGCCAAACACCATCTCCCCCTGCTTCGGGGCATGCTCTGGGGCACAGGTGGGCGTGAGGTGCCCTGATGCCAAGGCAGGACCGGGCACCCAGACACGTTTACCCTGAAGCCATTGGCACTGGGTGTGTGGGGCGGGAGTTCTGCGGACCCAGGCCCTGTGTACGTCTGTGGCTCTCGGCCGCAGGGCCTGAGGGGGGCCCGGGAGCCCTAGCACTGGGCACAGGCCTGTCTCCACACCACTGCATGCTCTTAGCTCCCAGTGCCCCCACCCTCACCGTGCTGCCCCCCAGGCTTGTGCCCTGGTAGCACAAGGGTTTCCACACTCAGCCACGGCTAACTGGCTCGCTGCCACCCGCCCTCCGCGGGCCCAGAGACTGGTGGGGAGGGGCCCATGGCCTCAGTCACAGCCATGGTAACCCCCCTTCCCTAGCAACCTGTTCCCAGCCCTCCCGCCCAGACCCTGCGTCCCACCCAGACCCCCTGGGCTCATGGGGATGGCCACGCGCCAGGGCAGGAGGTGCCAAGGAGCAGCTGGGGGCAGCCGCCCCGTCAGCACTGACCCCCACGGTGCAGCAGGGCCTGGCCCAAGAGCCTAGTGCAGCCCTGTCCCCCAGCGCCCCCTTGGCAACATCATGTGGGGGAGACTGAGGCAGAGGGAAGGACCCTGCCAAAGGTCTCAGAGAGAGTTGGTGGGAATGGAACCCAGGAGTCCGGGCTCCCTGCCCCACTCCCCGTACCCACTGGGCATGTCTAAATCCCAGAGCAGCGGGCACCGCCCCAGCCAGGGAGGGGTTTGGGTTACAGCAGCTTGGGGGCGGGTGGCCAGGCAACCGGGGCGGGCCCCTTCCCTTGTGTCCTCACATTAACCCCCCGGCCAAGGACCCCTGAGACGGCCCAGGCTCTCCCAGGCTAGGAGCCTCCTTTCCAACCTGCCCAAGAGCTCCTGGTCGGGTGGGGGACTCACCCCAGGGGCTCCTGCCCCCCTCCCTGGCTGGATCACCAGGCCCCTGGGCTGGGGCCAGTGGCCCAGGGCCGACGCGCCACGAGTGACAAACCAGGCCGCACGGCACCCAGAGGGTTTATTTCTCCCTTTACAGACACACACAACAGAGAGCCCACAAGCCCCCCGCTCCAAGCCTGTGCCCGGCAGCCAACCCACCTCTCCAGGACCGGGGGGAGGGGGAGCTCCTGCCACTTCTCCCCCAGTGCAGCCCAGCTCTCCAGCCCAGAGCCCTGCCGCCCCCCGCCCAGCCCTTCGGAAACCTCCAGAGCGGTGCCAGGTGGCAGCGGGGCCCCGCAGTGGAGAGCAGGGAGGAACCAGCCCCTGGCGTGCCCCAAGCCCCAGGGAACCTGGGCTGGCCTGAGGGACAGGGCAGTAGCCCGACCCCTCCGTGACGGGGGGGCCCTACATAGCCCTGCCATGCCGGCAAGGAGGGGAAGGGGGCCAGCCAGGAGTGGGGTCAGCACCGGCCCCTGGGCGGGGGAGTCCAACCGGGGCTGCCGGAACCAGCCACTCACCCTGCGTCGGCACTAAGTGGTCAGGGCCGGCTCACCGGGCACGCCAGCCCTGCCCACGCCAGCACCCTGGGCTCTGAGCCGGGCCCCTGGGGCTAATACCCCTCGTGATGGCAGCACGCGGCCGGGCGGCGAGGGCACGTGCGTGCTCACCCTGTGATGCCACCTGCAGCACCCAGGGGCCCGCCTGCGGGCCCCCCCCAGCCCACTCACCACTGGACCGATTTGACGGGGTGCCCGGCCCACAGCCCTGGGAGGCCCCATCCCCCCCGCCCCGGAGCTGCAGCCCACGGGCTCTCCAGCGCCTCCTGCAGGGGCTGCCCCAGGCACACCTGGTTTATAATGGCCTGGGCAAGGGCCAGTGGGGCCGCACTGCCCCCTGTGGCCCCCAGCCCCACCACTGTCCCCCTCTTCCCCCAGGCTCAGTACCACGGGGCAGGCCCAGGAGAGCAGGCCGGGCCCGCGGGCGCTGTCAGGTCACTCAGCACGATGCCCGAGGCGGGCGCCAGGAATTTGGAGCCGAAGGAGCTGTTGAGAGAGGCCGAGAGCAGCAGGACGTTCCCTTGGCTGTCTGCCACTGCCAGGTGGCTGCCCACGGGCGAGGGGCCCCTGCCAGGGCGAGGGGGCCGGGGTGAGGGGCCCGCCCCCGCAAGCCCCCGGGAGCCGCGCCGGGCCGCGCTCCAGGGCCCTCAGGCAGGGATCAGGCGCGTCCCCGGGCCTGGCTGCCCGCACCTCCTCGAGGACGCTGGCCAGCAGGCTGCCGGCGGTGGGGGCCGGGGCTCCGTGGAGCCAGGTGTTGCCCAGCCGCATGGCAAGGGGGCTCTGCAGCTCCAGGCCCAAGTCCCCCATGGCCTGCAGGAAGGGCTCCCGCTCGGCCGGGGGCAGGTCCGGGGCCAGGGCCCGGGGCAGGGCGTCGTCCCCCGATGCCACCGCCCGGAGCAGGGCCGCCAGCCGGGGGTGGGTGACCAGCGCGCCCTGGCCCTTCAGCTCGCCGGCCCCGTTGCAGAAGAGGCTGCAGAGCCCTG